ATACAGGGCTTTAGAATATCAATACAGTATCGGGAAAAGAAATATCGCAATATTTCAGTGTATCGATATTTTCTTACACCCCTAGTTAGGATTAGATCTCAAATTTAATTTCTCTTTTTTGTTGTTTTATTTGTCAGAGACTGTGTACAGGAAAACATTCAACTTTTTTTCAAGTTTATTCATTTAAAAACAAAATAAATTCCGTATACATTACAAAAAAATACAAATCAAATAAAACGAAAGGCAGGAGAAAGAAGAAAATAAATCTTATACCCCCCCTCAGTTAAGTAATGATGTACAAGATTATAGCTACCAGCTAATTACTATCTGTAGTATCTGTATTCAAGTTGTTTTTTTTTTAACATTTAATGGTCAAAATGAACTAAAAGCCTGAATATAAGCAGATGAGTGTTTTTAAAACTGAAACCATCAAACACTGTCATAAAGCTCAGGTCCAGTTCAGCCCGGTTGTGTTCTCGATGATTTCAGTTGCTGTTTGAAAACATTTATTAAAACGTCGATTAAATGAACAGTTTCAGGGATGGTCAGTTTCAGCCCCGCACGTTTACTTGTTTCTCTGCTCCAACACACCTGATTAGAGTGAATGGATGATTTTCAGGCTTCTGCAGAACTTGGAGGGAATTCACTGAATCAGGTGTGTTAGAGGAGGGAAACAAATAAAACACGTAGGGCTGTATTCCTGATTTTGCGCCACTACCCATAATTCATAGCGGAAGCTCTGTTCTCTTTTTCTGGTTGGTGTTGTTTATTATTACGAGGATACACCATCGCTGTTTATCAAAGCATTTTTCATCAAAATTTGGCGTAGATGGCCACACATCGGAGGTGTAAATACTGTAAGGATGTGTCACATGACCAATGTAGTGGGAAAGTTTTGTTCTTCGTAAAAATCTGTTCCAAATTGTGTCAAAATTACAGACTTCAAGCTATGCATCAATTTTTAAATTGTGTTGATAGATAATTAAATTACACAACTTTTTTTAATGTTGGTCATGTTTGAAGTGGAGAGGAGCATCGAGTGGACTGACTGGAGAAATCTCCCCTGGTGGCATTAATCGTATTAATCGTCAAGTGCCAAAAAATAATCGATTAATGTTCTTCTGACGATTAATTGCACACGATATGATGATGCCCAACTCTAGTCAGATTTCTGAGAAAAAAAAGTCAGAATCCCTTTTTTTTCAGTGGCCCTAATCCTCTTCCGTAGATTAAATAACGAAACAGGGACCAACCACATTTACAGTTTAACTCACCAGACAGGTACAGATTCAGTGTTTTAGTTGATATTGCTGGAAGCTGTCTGACTCACAGAGGTTCAGACGAGACGCCTTCAGTAGCTAGCCTAGCTTTGGATCGGAGTAAATATTATATCAGTGGGAATTTTTGTCGATAAAACGAAAAAAGCATGCAAACTCTCTTTGGTGGGTTTTTCAGATTTAAAGCTGCAGCCATGTTAGTTTACCATCCTCCTTCATCGGCATAAAGTGCAGTTTGTAGGGCGCTGAGCTTTTACTACATCTTGTTCCAAACAAAATGTTTCTAAAGTGTTTCTCAGTTTTCTTCAGTTGTGGCAGCCGACAAATACACAAGATGAACACAAACTCATGATTGAAGTGTTCAAGCTGCCAGTTGAAGCAAAAATAAAGTAAATTTGTTGTTATAACTATTTGAATGAATGAATTTTTTGCGCACTGGAAAAATCGAACAGTGGGCGGGGCTAGTGACTGTCATGGCCAAGTAGGGGTCTCTGCGGACGAGTGGGCGTGTCCCAACGAAAGGCAATTCTAAAGCGACACACCTGATTTGACGGACTTTGTTAAAGGGACACACCTGATTTGACGGACTTTGTTAAAGGGACACACCTGATTTGACGGACTTTGTTAAAGGGACACACCTGACTGGACAAGCAAAAAAAGGGGCGACACCGTACGGCACCACCTGATTGGACAAGAACAAAAGGGGCGTTACTGTACTGCACCACTTTTTCTGGAGACCCCTACTTGGGTCACATTTCTCCTGGTTAACCTTAGTGTTGGGGTCAGGGTCAGGCTGTAAAGAGGTCAAGCAGGGTCTAAGGATACCGTCATGTAGGCCTCGTAGCCCACAGTGTTTATGCTTTAGACACGCCCACTCTTGTGACACGCCCACTTTGATTCCACAGATAACCCCTTCTCGTCATGGCAGCCTCCATAAGCTTCTCAGGAAACTTGTGGACACATGAACAGCTGAACCTAAGGACATTTTCTTATATTTTTTCCCAGGGATGACCTGACAACCATCAACTCCGGCTGCTTTGACCTCTTCCTGCATCTTCCCAGCTCTGTCGGGTAGAAGAGCCCTCCAATCTGAGTCGATTGTTTCTTCCTGTAAAGACCTCATTAAAGCCAGGATCGTGTTGTTGAGTCTCTTCCGAAGCCGGCGTGACGATGTATTGCCTGCAGTGGCTGCTCCCGGTGCTGCTCATCCCCAAGCCGCTGAACCCGGCCCTGTGGTTCAACCACTCCATGTTCATGGGCTTCTACCTGCTCAGCTTCCTGCTGGAGAGGAAGCCCTGCACCATCTGCGCTTTGGTTTTCCTGGCCGCGCTCTTCCTCATCTGCTACAGCTGCTGGGGCAACTGCTTCCTGTACCACTGCCAGGACGCCGTGCTGCCGGACGCCGCCCACGACCCCGCCATCATCGGGACCTAAGAGGACGGAGGGAGATTTACTGTAGAGTGATACTGCCATGCTGTTCAGAGGAGGGGGGGTGGACGACGCTCAGCCCAGGACGATACATCTGAGGAGGCGGGGCTTCATTTCTACTTTCTGTCAGGAAAAATAAAAGCATCCAAACCTGAAACAAAGGGAAGCGTGAACCGGACGCTGAGAGGATTTCTGTTTGTTTCTCAGACAACATTTAGTGAAGAGCTTCAGTGTTCCTGTTCGTTTAAAATAATCCTTTTGTTCCTCGGACTGTCCAAACTCTTCACAAAGAATACGCACAGACAAACAACATGATGGCTGTTCCTCATCACACACACGGAGAGCACACCGACACACACGATGCTGAGCCCCGCCCCCTCACAGTCAAACTCACATCTGGGACACAAACCCTTCAAAGTCTTTGTCTCATGCATGGTTTGCAGGTTTTGTTTTGCCAATCGTTCGTTTCACAGGTTTGAATGATTTTAATGCTGAAAATCGCGGGTGTGCAGCGGGTGGATGTGTGCGATCATTTCATCGTTCTGATTCTGCTGAAGAGCGCCACGAGTGCGGCGACGCTTCACGATGTTTTTCATCTGTAAGAACGGCAGCGAGCCGTTTGAGCTGCCTGTAGTTTAAAGTGTCGAGCTGTCAGTCGTCACTGCGAAGTGTGAGAAATGTGTGCGAACATGTTCACTCTGCTTTTAATTTAAATAAAGTCTTTTCTTCTCTACGTCTTGTTTTCACCGTTTTTTTCCTTATATGGAAACGGAGATGACTTGGTGCGATTTAGTCTGGTGTTTAAATTAATGTGAAGAAGTTGAGTCATGACTTTCTATTTTTCTGAGTAGTCAAACTTTATCAGAATATCTTCACATCTTCCACCATGTTCGATTATTTTATTATTTTAAAGGTAAGAATCCTTAAACCGAAGAGGGCAATGAAACAAAAAACAGACTGAGTTTCATCAACTTTTATTCTTCTCAGGTGAGTTGTGTTTGAGCAGCACACCTGGATTTACCTGCTGTCAGGAGCAAACTAAAGGTTCCATCATGGACTTCAGCATCTGTACGGATTATTAATCAGGTCTGAAACTGATCCATCAGATCAGATCAACACAACTTCCTGTTTCAGATCTCTGAGTTTCAAACTGACCAATCAGCTTTAACTTTGTTTTCAGCAGGAAGAACATCAGAGCTGCTGTCTGACCACTGAGATCTTCATTGGACACATTTTTATTGGACCTGAAGTGTAGATGTACAAAAACATCTTCTCAGTGAAAGTATGTGTGAAGGTGTGTATGTGTGTGTTTGTRTCAGGATCAGAGAAACACAACTTTCCTCCGTTCCAGTCCAGATTCATTCTGATCTTCTGGTGCTTCTTCTGAACAGAGAGAGCTATGGGAAGACCTACTGGTGACTGTACCATGTACCTTTAAGGAATTCCAAACTACAAAATCCAGACAATATAGCTCCCTTCTTCTCGAATGACCCTGGTACCAAATCAGGTCTCCAGCTTTTACTGGCTCTAACATCAACATCCCAGCTGTGATTCCCTGAGTTAAAACCATCAGAACTCAGAACAGACCAGCATCCATCAAACCTCTCAGGATTATCAGGAAGCTGCTGTTTGTCTCCTGGTCTCACACTGGTCAGATCTTCAGACAGGACCAGACCTGGACCAGCAGTGTTTGGGTCCAGGATGATGGGGCTGTAGGAGACCAGGTCCTTCATGTTGGTCCAGATGTTGAAGGCCAGGTTGCCCAGGTGTTTGGCCTGGTCTATCAG